GGGCTTTCGGGTCAGGACATACATTGTACCTCCCCCCGCTTTCAACCAGCCAAGGTTCGCCACGCGGTACCAGACTTATTAATTCACCTTCAAGTCCGAGCTCTGCTGTGGGTTTCGTCGGGAACCGACCCTGTCATGAGACGCACACTCGAACAGGCTCTCCCGCATATTCAAACATGGGTACCTTGGGCCGCCCATCGGAGTCTGTAATGCGTAATGACTAGGTGAGCCATGCCGTTGCAGAATATTATCAGTCCAGGTGACACAATGTATATTCCCCCACCCTCGATCCTAAAGCAACCACTCACGGCCGCTTCTACGCTGATGGGATCGCATGTGCCGGGATCCAGATCAACCCCCACCTGCAGTCTCCCCAGGTCCAGCCTAGTGTTGAGCGGCGTGCAGACGATGTTGAGGGGCAGTCGTTGGTCAGCAACAGAGGAGGTAATGCCAAAAGCCCCGGGCTGAGGTAATCTTTTGCATAACCCCTTTCGCTGGACCAAACGATACCCTATCTGGGCAATTTCAGATTCCGACCCCAATTCATGGGATGAAACCAGAAGCCCCGACCGGACCCGAAGGCTCCTTCCCCAGACCCCGCACAGTACCACAAATTTCTGTTTTGCTAACCGGGTAAAGGGGGAAGGCCGCGTTCCATGGTCATTCTCATCGACCCTGTCTGAAACTATCCAACACGCCCTGAGGGCAGAGTTGCTACCCATCAATTTCCTAGAATTCGTGGGCGCCACACTGGAGCGCATTCTTGTGCGTGCCCAGGACTCTGAGACCTCAGAGGCAGAACACACCCGCCTCCTAGACCAGGCAACACAGTCAATGGTAGGCCACCGCATGGCTATGTGTGATATTCTCCAGTGTCATATGGCTCTCTTGGCTACTACTGTGCAGTGGGAAGCGGTTCTAGACACATGTGTTTTTGGCGGCAAACTGAGTCAGTGGGTACCACTGCCTCAGTTACGCAGACTGGACATCGCCCACCCTTTTTGATGGGGAGATAGCAGGTGCAGTCGCAGAGTTTCGGGGTGTAATAAACCAAATGGTCCAAGTCGAATCCACTAGCCAGTTGGCCACTGCCAAGGGTAAACAGAGGGCGCCTCAAGCACAGAAAATGCAATGCCCTAGGTCTAACTCTGCTAACCAGAGTCAGCCAGGAGGCAATCACTCCTACCCTTCCACCGGGTGGGAAGAGTAGCAGTGCGTCCCCAGGAAAGAAAAGACCAGGTGGTGGCTCCTCCTCTTCCTCGGGTGGTCATCAACCCCGGCAGGGGGAAGCATGTTTGACGCTTACCTCTGCAACAGGGGGGATGGGCTTATGTTCGGCAAGGGATCAGGCTACGACTTAAGTAACCCCAGTGATCCCCGGGAAAGCTCACCTCATGGAAGAAGAGAACCCCCCCTCTTGCAGCTGCCGAACCCATGGCCACAGATTCCTGTCGCACACAGATTGTGCCGGTGCATTCCGGCTTGGAGACAGCGGGTAACCGATTCCTGGACGTGCCAGGTGGTAACACTCAGTTACAGAATACCACTGACATCTCCACCGCCCCTGTCAGTGTCCCCCCCATTGGGGGTTTCCAACAAGGCGGAAGCAATCTGACAGGAAGTAGACAGTTTGCTAAGAAAGGGCGCCATACACAGAATAGTTCAGCCAGTGCTAAGTCTGGGCTTCTACTCAAATGTATTTGTAGTACCAAAATCTGGCTGGCATCCGGTTCTTGACCTAAGCAGACTAAATCAGTATGTGCTTCTCGATCGGATCTGCATGGAGACACCATTCAGTGTTCTACTCTCCATCCACCGGTTCAACTGGCTAGCCTCTTTAGACTCAAGTGATGTGTACCTGCACATACCGATGCACCCAGTGAGTTGCCACCTCTTTCGATTCGCCCACCTGGGCTATTCGGGTTATTCACATGGCCCTACGTGTTCATCAGTGATGAAACAGGTAGTGCTGCTGCTCAACCAAATGTCGGTACACATCAATCCGTACCTAGACGTCTGGTTGTTACACAACCAAGACAAGGGGTTATTAGCCAGACAAGTAGGGCTAACACTGAATTTACTTCACCTGTTGGGTTTTCTAGTAAATCAGAAAAAGTCCCATCCCGACCCGACTCAACAATTGGTGTTTCTGGGCATGGAGTTCGACACTGAGGTAGGTCTGGTTCGCCCATCTCAAGCACGTTGCCTAGCACTAAGCAACCTAGCAGAACGCCTAGTCTGTCCCTTCAGTGTCTTTTCAAAAACTAATGTGGTTCATCGTAATGATGACCTCTGCTCGAAGGGTAGTTCCCCAGGTCGCACTATGCAGCCAAGCTCACCTACGGGAACTAGACAGGTGAGTATTGATCCCGGACCAAGCTAAGGAAACCTTGTCCTGTTGGTCGTCACTGACCAACCTCAGACGGGGGTCCACTTGGACCCACTCATCACAGCTATAACTCTGGTAACAGACGCCTCCCTCCAAGGGTGGGGAGCGCATCTATTGGACAAACAAGCCCAAGGATTATGGCCCCCACAGTGGGTTCGGAACCACCATATCAACTGGCTCGAGCTGAAAGCAGTACACCTAGCACTATTACGCTTTCTACACGAAGTTCGAGACCACAGAGTCCTGCTGCGCACAGACAACACAGCGGTGGTCTCCTACATCAACAAGGAGGGGGGGACGCATTCCCCATCGTTGTCAGTCCTAGCAGAGCAAATTCTCTTTTGGTGCCTGGAATTCAATGTGGAGCTAACCGCACACCACTTTCCAGGGGTGAGGAATGGTCTGGCAGATGCCCTTTCGAGGCGGCTCTGTCTCCAGAACACGGAGTGGCAGTGGGTAGCCTCCAGGCTGTTTCGGCTGTGGGACGGTCCAAGGATAGACCTGTTTCCTGCACCCCGGAATGCCAAGCTCCTGACGGACGTGAAACTCCTGCCAACACCAGGAGCCTGGGCCGTGGATGCCTTATCGATCCCATGGTCCCACATGGATGCGTATGCCTTTCCTCCCTTCCCACTAATTCACCCGGTACTGGAGAAACTTCGACAAGAGCCCACCTGTATATTAATTCTCTATTTCCCAAAGGGTCGTAGGCTTATCTTCCCAATTGCTACTCACTGCTCTTGATAACTGATAGGTCGAGTAACATTCCATTCTAACTGAAGCATTCAGTAACAACTGGCCGGCAGTCCACAAGGCCACTCAGTAACAACTGGGACAAGTACAAGTAGTACTTAGTAACATGTGCAATATGCCACAGTAACACAAACTAACAACTGCAGGGGTTTGTAGGCACACTTATAATTGTTGGTGTGTCTTGCAAATGCATTATTGTACAATTATATCCATACACACAAACAGTATTTGATAACTGATGTCATGTAATTGGTATTGTATAAAAATTGGCTGAGTCAATGCAACATTTTATGACAATTGGCAAGGAGTATTGTATAGTAAATCCTATTTGGTCTAGATTTAAAAAAATCTAACCTAAACTACTG